TAAAATGAAAAAGTAAAAGTAAAAAAAAATCTCCAAAAAAATTACATTAATCTTTAAGAGATTTCTCATTTTGTAGAATCCAACGTTGATTATAATATGAAAATATTCCATTTATCTATTAAATTAATATTTCTCATTTAGTACTCTCACTCTCACTTGGTAATTATTTTCGATCTCCGTATTTGGAGAAAAAACATTCTCTCCTATTTTCTCTATTTTAAAGATAGTTTTGAGCATGTTGTTTGAGTAAAAAATATTGATTCAAAATTCTCATTTTCTTCATTTTTCTCGTTTTGGAGAAGTTTATCAACAAAATATTGAAATAAAATGTTTATGAGAAAGAAAATAATATTTAACTGAATGTATAAAATATTCTAATAATATAATTAATATATAACATTCATAATAAAAAATATGGTGGAGTTGAATGCAATTTTTTTAAATATTTTGAACTTTGGTTTTCCATTTTAGAAATTTTTTAAAGAATCTGTCGGAGAAGCTCTTATCCTACATTTCGTAAACTACTCGATAAGATAGTTGATGTCTGATAAGCTAACTGGTAGTTGTCTAGATGATAAGCTATACTGTAAATACGCTTAAAAAAAACTAGTTGTTAAGTTAGTTGAAAATTGTAAAATAAACAAAAAATACACATTTAAAAATTAATAAAATTTAATATTTCATAATGATATAAAACAATTTACTAATAAATATAATATGTTAATTAGTATAAATTATATGAAAAAAAGAAGAAGAAATTAATGGAATATGAAAACTAGTAGATTTCAATTTGATTTTTTATTATTTTGTATATAATGTTAAAAAAAGTTGGACTTGCATAACCAAATACTTTAGATAATATCTATGTTAAATGATGATTTCAAATAATATTACAATATAAATATATAATATTGATAAATAAATAAAAAGTTGGTCAAATTCACACATTTTAGGGGCCGTTTACTAAATACTTACTCTGGTAAGTGTTTACCAATAAAATTTAACACTATTATTTACTTACTGGATAAAATTTTAGTCCATCAAAACGATATCACATACAACAATTTACCCAGTAAGTGTTTACCGTGGTAAGAGTCGTCGTGCTCATTTACCGGGTAAGACTTTTGGTCCTTGTCCCGCTCTTTCCGGGTAAGATTTTTTGTCCTTACCATATTCATTCGATGAGGTAACATGACTTTATAAGCGCTTACCCGGGTAAGCATTTGGTAAACGGCCCCTTAGTTAATTAATAATTTAAAATATATATATATATATATATATTAAATTAAATATTTTATTAAAATATATATCAAAGTTTTATTATTTATAAAATAAGAAAAACATGTAACTTTTATTTTTGTTAATTTACAAAAA